CTGAATTTTTGATCCTAAGGAAATACTGGTCGCATAATTTGGTTCAACTTGTTTACCTCTTTTAGGTTTTCTCATCTGCAAAATAGGATAAGTAATATCTGCCTCACAGAATCAGCTGTGGTAATGACTGAGAAAATACTACACACAGTACATATTGTAGGCTGTAGTTTTGCTGGCTTTGAGAGACATTCGACATTTCTAGATAAAGCTGCAGCTTCAGTGATGCTCCAATTCAGTGCCCTTTTCTTTTCAGTCAAATGGGGATAATTACATCTGCCTAATATACTACTCATGTGTTAAACATGTTAATACATGTAAAATAATTTGAATACTGCCTACCATCTGCTAAATGCCTAGTAAATGTTAGCTGCTGTTGTTCACAATTATTATTAATATCTTGATTCTTAAAGATTATGGGCACTTTTCTCATTAAATACACATTCAAACAAAATTCTGTAAATAATCGCAAAGAATTCATAATTCCCCTGAAGCTAATAGCCCTATGCTATGTGTATGCTGTGTGCTAACCTTTGCCGTTATCTACCATTGAGTCCAAATCCTATAGGAGAAGTTTGGTCACAGGACTTACCTAAAACTATCCAAAATAAAAAATTGTAGAGTGTGTGCACTTGTCTGACTAGGATTCCCAAATGTTCATCAGATACTCAAAAGGATTATGTTTTGCAAAAAGAGGTTTGGTAGTGATTTTTGTTGGGTTATTTGTTTATCTAGGGTTGAAAGGAGCTTGATAAATACCAAAGGCTGTAGCTTTTCTTCTTTTGAAGTCCATTCTTTACTTTTAATTGTGGATTAAAATCTGCAGCCAAAGTGTATTTTGCAAAGCCAAACACACACAGACATTTGGAGAGCCTACATTTGGACTGCCCAACCACCTGCACAGCTGCTGACAGCTGCTGCAGACCTCACCCTGAGAGTCATTGTCTGGGGCCTATGGGCCTATGCAGTGTATCTAGCACTGTTAACTGCCTCACTAGATGATCTTTACTTTTGTGAAACAATAAATTCCAAATTCTCACCTGAGAATTTAGAAAAGCCTTTATTCATAAAAGCACTTAGGAATGTTCCAGGAGAATTTCTGGGTCCTTAAATGGACCTAGCACTGACTTTTATTTTAACATTCTCTTTGCCAGGGAATAAAAAAAGACTGTAAAACAAAGTTGCTCTTGATATTGCCATGGAACAGCAATTAGTGGTTGTAGTAATGAATGAACACCTAAGGCTCACATGGCAAATTTGACATACTTTATAAATGTTAAATAATAATAATGATGTCACAAGGCTTTCATTTTCAAACTGTCTTAATTTCATTCTCAGTTTGAGATTGCAGATTACAGTAGTTAATTATAGAAATTGACCCAGAGTGAAACCTTAAATCAATTTCCATTAAAGTGCATGACTGCAGCAAATTATTTTATAGTGGGAGAGAATGGCATCATCTCTGGCAGAGTGGGGTCTGCCCTGGTGGTGATTTTCCTCCTAATGCTCCATGGTATACCATGTGGCCCAAACAGTCCTCTTCCCTAAAACAGCCTGTGCACTTGTATGTCCTGTTGCTCTTATAAAACTTCTGCTTTGATAGTAATGGTCAAACTCTCTCTTTTTCTGTAACACACTGCTTGTTCTCTCTCCCTTTTGCATTCTCTCCATTCTCTCTCTCTCTCTCTCTCTCTCTCTCTCTCTCTCTCTCTCTCTCTCTCTCTCGTTCTCTCTCTCTCATGGGCATTCTGTATTTTTCATCTCATGTTTGCTCATGCACTACTCCTCTCTGTCCAGCTCTCTGTTTCCTACCATTCCCCCTCTACCCTCAAGGGAAGGTTACTTTCAACACTTGTATTTACTCAGTTCTAGAAAAGGAAACAATAAGCAGAAAGAGCCAAGTTCCCATCCCTGGCCTCTGGCATTTGCTCCTCTCCACCTCAGCTGCAACATCTCAGGTTACTTCCCCATTCAACCTGTAGGTCCTGAATGAACCAACTTGGGTGACACGTCTGCCTACATCCTGGCTGTTCCCTTCTGCTTGAGTTCCTGCTCTTTCCCTCTTTGTTAACTATAACATCGCCTCTTCCAAAAATCATCTGTGGCCATTGCAGTCTGCATCTCTAGCCCTGCCCTCATCTTCCGTCTGTGAGGTATCTGTAGACCTAGGATTGCAATCGTTAGTTTACTAGTCTGGCTCTTAAAACTAGTCTTTGAATTCCTTGAAGACAACGATAGTATCTTATTTATCTCCATAGCTCAAGCACTTAAGTCTGTGCCCAGCACAAGGGAGATGGTCATTAGGTGTCTACTGAAGTTAATTTAATTCATTCACTCTTGAAACTGTTATTTGTTAGATGATTATGCTGTGTCATGCATGGTGCAAGGTGCGGGTGGAAGGACTGCGGAGTCCTTTTGCTGAGGAGCACTAAGGTGACCCACACAAGGGAGTTGCATCCTGGGGAGGGAGATGCAGAGTGAGAGGTGAATAAACTACACTGGAGAACAACGGTCTATTCCTCAGTACACCCTACAAAGCCAGTTACTCCTCCACTGTGGAAAAGAGGGCTTTTCCTTGGGTTCAGCACCAGTTCAAGTGGTTGGCTTACTTTTAAGTACAAGTTGCTGTATGAAGAATATCTACTTTAAATGTTGGATGCTAATTAAACCCAAGATACTGACATGGGAGACTCATGGACACTGATACCAACCAAGGCAACACCAGATCTATAGCTAACATTTGACACTCACTCCAGGTCATACACTCACTGCCTAACCTTGATCACAGGGTCACAGGCATCTTCCCTTCTTGCTTCCTCTACCCCTGCCTGTTTAAATGACTTCACATATGTTTGTCATATGTAATACAAATACTCTGTAGAACTATCATGCTGTTTAGATTGGTTAAACAGAATAACTCACTCTATCTTGGTGAGGCAAGAAAATTTCTTGGAGAAGTTGTTAATATCTGAGCTCATCTTAAAGAAGGTTCAGGTTGGAACACCATAGACATGTGCAGGTACTTACGTGTCTTTCACTTGAAAGCCTAGTTCTACACACCCAAGTGAGCCTTGCAGTTTCTGAGTATCTATCTCACTTGGACCCTGTGGAGTCATTATTGCTCTTGAGTGTTTTTTCCTCATTGTTTTGGCAAGTTCCTCTCCACCCCACAGCTATTTGGAAACTACTGCTGTACCAAGCCCCCAGTGCTAACGGCATTAAATAGCTGTCTTTAGAAAGCAAACTTCTGCTTACCAGTTGGACTGCTGTGAATGGTAATGTGAGATTTCTTTTTTGGGAGTAGCCCCAAACTCTAATTGGTTTGTAAAATATTGCTCATTTATTTTATTCTTAAGACATTAACTTTTTATTGAACTTCATTAAATTTGTGTTTCTATTATATTCAAATTAAACATAGCTGTAGCCTACTGAAAGAGGTTTTCTTCTTACTGGCTGTTGAGGTAACCTGTCTACATTTATCATTGCTTGTTGCAGTGTAAATATCCATTAAGTACTTTATAGGCATGTACTAAGCATTTCACACATGGTATCTCATTTAGACCTTTCCACAATCTTATGGACAAGGTACTATTATTTCCATTTTCTAGATGAGGAAACCATGTTCAAGAAACAATGTATGTACCTTGCAAATTCAAGATTCCAGCCCTAGCAGCTGGCATGAATGAAGAGTCATGAAACAATCTAGAGAGCTGACTTTGAGCCTCACCACTGCTTCATGGTAGTTATGTAACCCTGGGAGACATGTTGTGAATTCTCTAAGTGGCTTTATCAGCTACAGAGGGCCAACTCTCATTGTACTTACTAAATAGGGTTCTGGCACAGATTGTAATAAAACATGAGAGTTCATGTATTGGCACTAGTTTCTAAAACAATTAAGTGCTGAACAAATGTACAGCATTCTTTTCTCATGTTTTGTATAGTTAATTTAGCATATTAAAATAACAGGATTTAAAAATGGCATGTAGTACTTAACATATATGCTTTGCAGTTAATGGAGCACAATTAAATTGTGACTCTGTTAGAGTTTTGAGGCCTCCAGCTTGATGAATAGCCATTTTCTGTGGGTGTTATCAATTTATCTAGATAATGAATTCTCTTCATTATCTCATTCTTCATGTTAATTATACAGGATTTTCTTATACTTATTTATCAAGTCAGGACAAGCACAGTGTTTTTTTGGCCAACATGTCTTTGAATATAGAAGATGTACAAACAGGTTAACATGAAAGGTTTAAATTTACATTCGTGAAAAATTCCAGTCAATGGCATAACTCCTTACATTCTTACTTGTGGTATGAGCTTGTATTCATTCTTTTGGAGATCTTTACTTTTTTTAAATCATTGGTATACAATCTTATGAAGGTTTCACATGAGCAACCTTGTGGTTTCAACATTCACCCATATTATCAAGTCCCCCCCACACTGCAATCACTCAAAAAGGTTCTAATCTGAGATAATTAAATTATCCCTAGCTTTTGAGACTATGCCTTTAGCATATCAAAGAGGTGTTAAGGAAGCATGGAAATGTTTGACAAAAAAATAGTTGGTAAGTTCCTAGTTTTGAAATACTCCATGAGGCACCATGACAGATAAAAAATTTAAGTATAAACCCTGGGGAGAGAAGACATACGTGCATGAAATTTTAAATGACACTACTCATAAAAGGACAGTTCCAGATAATAATATAAGAGAAACCAGAAGACAGAATGTAATAAATGAGTGGTGATTGATTCATTTTGAGAGAAGAAATTGATGGGATAATATGAGTTAATATGGTAATGTTATATATTGATATTTGTTAATTCATTACTAAGTTAGAACTTTCTTAACATCAACTAGTCCTTTTGTTTTATATTTTATGTTCTGTGTTAAAACCAAAAAATAAGGATTCTTATTTCAATCATATTTATTGTTTAGCCAATTATTTTTGAAAGTGTTGGAAATCAGCGTGTTGATGGGCACCTTCCTACTTTTGATTACAGGTTGAAGCCATCCTCGTCAATATTTTTGGTGGAATCGTCAACTGTGCCATCATTGCCAATGGGATCACCAAAGCCTGCCGGGAGCTGGAACTCAAGGTACCGCTGGTGGTCCGGCTGGAAGGTGAGTTATGGTAGATTCCCACAATGCCAGTATATCCTTTCTCCAAGATCAGGGGACCTTCGTTCTCTGCAGTCACAAACTGCCTCAGGTGGCATGAGGAAACACCAGATTTAAATAAGATGAAACAGCACAGCCATACTTCTCTGAGCCTCTCTCAGGCTAATGATGGGTTTTAGCTCTCCAAGAATAGCATGTGTTATGGCTCTCCAAATTTTCCAAACTAATTCCAGAGTGGAGCCTTTTTATTATGAGTCATGTTCTGAGATTAGTATTTTGGGAGAAACATTGAGAAATACAGCTCCAAGAATTACTATTCACCATAAGAGAGCAATGGTTCTCAAACTTTTTGGTCGCAGGACTCATTTACTTGTTAAAATTGAAGACCCCCAAAGGACAAAGATTTATTTGGGGCTCTCTATCTGTGGATATGTGTTAATTAATTTAATTATTAAATTACTAAAATGATAATGATTTGGTAAGAGGTGTAACTACTTGGAACTTCTCAAATAGTCTTTTTTTAAGAATAAAATTATTTTATATTTTATACTGTATTTTTTATATTATATATTTTATATATAAACACGTGCAATAGTAAGAATAGCAGCATTCTTTTACATTTTTGCAAGTCCTTTTAAACTAGCTTAAAATGTTCTTCGGCATTATATCTGTTGCAATATGTTGTTTGGTTTAAGTATATGTAGAAAATCTGGCCTCACAGAGCTTTGTGTTTGGAAAAGGGAGGATTTTTTAATAATCATTTCATATAACTTTGAATATTCTTTAGAACTGTGTTAAAGTATAAAGTTATAGTTTCTTTATTAAAATTAATTTTATGTGGAATCTGAAACTATTCCGTGAACTTTTCATACTCTGTTATATTAAAATCCATTGATCTTTCACATTAAATGGTTTTTACACATTATGATTCATAATATGTTCATAATTGGTAGTATGGAAAATTTGGGGTTATGCAGATCTTCCAAAGGTTGACACATTTCAGCATGTAGTATCAAAAAATCACATTTGTTAATACCACACCATTCTCACTGGCAAAATATGGAAGTATTAGGAGTTGTCAAGGTGGTAGATGCAACTTTTCCAGAATTCTGATTTTCATTTTAAAGTAAAATCAGCCACAAAAGGGTCCATTGTTTTCCTCAAAATGATAGACTCACTTCACTAACCTTTGAGAAAATGTCTCCCAGAGAACTAAGTCTGAATAATCATGGTGTGTCTGTCATTCTTCCAAGAAAAAATTGTGTTCCATGGGAAGGTGGGTGCGTCAGCTTGCTGCTCATACTATTCCACAAATGTGTTTGCCTAGAACAGCCCTCATAGTTCAATATAGAGCAAAAGTACTCTCTGTATACTTTGCATTTGGTCAGAGTATTAAAAAGTCCCATACTCAAAGGTAAAGATTTAATGAAATTAGGTTTTTTTCTGTTCATTCAAAAACATTCTTAGTTGAAGTGGCAACTTTCTGCAAGTGTGTGTTGGTGACAGTTACAGTAGCTACCAGTGCAGTTTGGTGTCCCTGCTTTGACTCCATTGTAACATGCCAGCAGTTTTATACCCACCATTACTTTTGTTCATCAGTGCAAATGTTAACAAAGTATTACTATTATTTTTATTTGTTTATTTTATTATTATTACTATAAAAGCAGTATTTATGTCAAAGACCTCCCCCAGGGTTCTGCAGGCCACACTTTGAAGACCAGTGCAGTAGATAAGCAAAAACAGACACTTCACATGAGAACTGTGCACCAGGCCTCTGCACAGTTGTGAAATCTAGATTATGATGACCATGTTGTCCCCTTGATTAGATTTCTACAACATCATTCTTGGGACAGCTCAGTCTCCCCAAGTTCTGTGTGGGTGCCATAATTCCTTAGAGACTTTCTGCTCTTCAAGATAAGTTTGACCCTGCCATGTCTCCCCATCCTTTGAGATCAGGACTCAAGAACAACTGCAGCCTCTTTTTCTCTGTTTGCTTCTTTCTTTGTGTTTCCTTCTCTCACTCTCTGCTATTCTCCTCTTTTTCTCCCCAAGACTCTGTCTCACAAGCTTAGACCTGCATTATATGGATTTGAAAGAAATAGTGACCACAAAAAAAATGTAAATAGCAGGAGTTCCAGGTGACAAAGTTTCATTTGAACATTAAAACATATGAATGAATTAAATCTTAATAGTGTCAATACAACATAATTGACCTCAATAAACGTAATTTCAATAAAAGGAAAATTATTGGAAAGGCTGCAATGAAAAGTGTTGAAGAAATTAATGGATTCATCAGTGTAAGTATAATTTTGATTAAAATGTTGATATCTGACTGTTTCCAGGGTCAAAGTGACCCAGTAACCCTAAGATTTGAAAAAAGTCAGCTTTTCTTGTTATATTAAAGGGGAGCAGATCTCTGTAAGCATATCCCTTGGAAATAACTAGAAAATGAATGTATACATGCAGACTTATTCTTTCTAGGGATTTTGCTTTTCCTGTACTCTCAACAGAGGCCCATAATTATTAGTTATTAGTAGATTCCTAGAAATGAAAGTTATCCCACTTTTTCCCCCCCGAAGATTAAAAGTAACACGAAAGATGGTGGTGTCAGAGGTGAGACAGAGGCCTCCTCCTAAAACCGCATATAATATGAAAATATAATTAATACAACTAATCTTGAAAGAGCAACAGGAAAGAAGGCTGCACTAGACTGCATACACCTGGAGAAAAGAGCAGACCTTGCAGAACAGGGTTGGGAACTTTCATGACCTTCAGGTGCTCCAGCCCGCTGGCTGGCAATGCAGCTCCAAGGCCCCCCACCATGATATGCAGCCTGCTGTGCCTTCCTCCTGGCCAGCCTGCAACTGGCTGGCAAACTAACAAACCCTGCCATGGCATCAAGCCAACCAGAGGGAAGCCCCCCCTACAGCAGCTACAAATGCAAAGCATAGAGGCTTATACCTGTGTGCTTGGCCCACTGGTTCTGGCAGTGGAGAGAGGCATAGCAGCCAGGAAGCAGGAAACAGCTCTTTCTTCCCCCCAGGCACCAACACCATTCCCCTGCAATCCCCGACATTGCTCCAGTGGCTGAGCAGCTCCAGAAAGTAGAGCCTTAGGGCACTAGAGGGTGCCACATACAAATATGAAATGACAAAGGAACCTAGTTCAAAGCAAAATCCTACAAACACCAGAAAAAGAGTCAAATGAAACCAATCTCATGAATCTTCCTGAAAGAGATGTCAAAATAAAAATCATAAACATGCTCATGGAGGTACAGAAAAATATTCAAGAACTCAGAAATGAATTCCAGTAGGAGATCCAATCATTACGGAACACAGTATCAGAAATGAAACATACTGTGGAAGGTTTTAAAAGATTAGATATGGTGGAGGAGATGATAAATGAAATAGAAATTAGAGAAGAGGAATTCAAAGAAACTGAGGCACAGAGAAAAAAGAGGATCTCTAAGAATGAAATAATATTGAGTGAACTGTATGACTAATCCAAATGGAACAATATTTGTATTATAGGGGTACCAGAAGAAGAAGAGAGAGACAAAGGGATAGAAAGTGTCTTTGAGGAGGTAATTGCTAAAAACTTCCCCAATCAGGAGAAAGAGATAGTCTCTCAGGCCCTGGAGTTGCACAGATCTCCCAACACAAGGGACCCAAGGAAGACAACACCAAGACATACACTAATTAAAATGGCAAAGATCAAGAATAAGGACAGACTGTTAAAAGCAGCCAAAGAGAGAAATAAGATCACATACATAGGAAAGCACATCAGGCTATCATCAGACTTCTAAACAGAAACCTTATAGGCCGCAAGGGAGTGGCATGATGTATTTAATGAAATGAAGCAGAAGGGCCTGGAACCAAGAATACTTTATCCAGCAAGATTATCATTTAAATTTGAAGGAGGGATTAAACAATTTCCAGATAAGCAAAAGCTGAGAGAATTTTCCTCCCACAAACTGTCTCTACAGTGTATATCAGAGGGACTGCTATAGATGGAAGTGTTCCTAAGATTTAATAGCTGTTACCAGAGGTAATAAAACCACAGTAAAGAAAGCACAACAGTTAAATACCAAGCAAATGCAAAATTAAATCAACGACCTGCAAAGTCAGTCAAGGGATAAATAAAGAATACAGAATATGATTCCTAAAATATAAAGAATGGAGGAGGAAGAAAAAGGAGGAAAAAAAAGAACCTTTAGATTGTGTTTGTAATAGCATACTAAGTGAGTTAAGTTAGACTCTTAGATAGTAAGGAAGTTACCCTTGAACCTTTGGTAACCGTGAATCTTAAGTCTTCAATGGCAATAAGTACATACCTTTCAATAATCACCCTAAATGTCTGAATGTACCAATCAAAAGACATAGAGTCACTGAATGGATAAAAAAACAAGACCTGTCTATATGCTGCCTACAAGGGACTCACTTTAAACCCAGAGACATACACAGACTAAAAGTGAAGGGATGGAAAAAGATATTTCATGCCAACAGTAGGGAGAAAAAAGCAGGAGTTACAGTACTTGTATCAGACAAAATAGACTTCAAAACAAAGAAAGTCACAAGAGACAAAGAAGGACATTTCGCTATGATAAACGGTCAATCCAATAAGAAGGTATAACCATTATAAATCTCTATTCACCCAACACAGGATCACTTACATATGTGAAACAAATACTAAAGAATTAAAAGGGAAATAGAATGCAATGCATTTATTCTAGGCGACTTCAATACTCCACTCACTCTGAAGGACAGATCAACCAGACAGAAAATAAGGAGACAGAGGCACTGAACAACACATTAGAACAGATGGACTTAACAGACATCTACAGAACTCTGCACCCAAAAGAAGCAGAACGCACATTCTTCTCAAGTGCACACAGAACATTTTCAAGAATAGATCCTATACAAGGCCACAAAAAGAGCCTTGGTAAATTTAAAGATATTGAAATCGTACCAACCAGCTTCTCAGACCACAAAGGTATGAAACCA